ATCCAGCAAAATGTGGAACTGTCTAGCTTTTAAGGCCTTCAAATCAAGAATGGTCAGGACATTTTAGCATCACAAAATGTTGAACTTTACACCACCTTTAAATTAGTAAGGTGATCCGCTCTGGGGTGTTCACTATGTCATATCTAAGGTTGACTTACACTTAAAGTGCTGATCCCATGAAAGCAAAGGGGTGCACGTGGCTCTGTGACTGCCTCATGAGATGGACCAGTTTTTCCAGAGCTCTAAACCCTGGGCCAAAAATAATTTAGGGACTAGACTTGTTCTTGGTTTAATCTGAAGCTGTTGGGAAGCTGTCCACCTCAGAAAGGCAGATTATGTGTTAGGTAAGACCTGCTTCAGCATTTTCTATATATTCTCAGGGTCCCATAAACGTATCTGTTTAAACATTTTGCTGTCCATTGCTATGGGATCCACGGGTTCCCTTCTTCATTCACCTTAGACCTTTGATAGGGTCCCAAGCATGCTGGTTGTCCCACTTTGCTCCCCTCTCCCTGGAACCAAATCCATTTGTCTATTTAAACTGCAAGCTCTGTGAGCAGGACTCTGATCCTTGGCTTGATGCAAAGTTTGTCCTAATAACACTCCTAACAGATAAGACCATAAAACGTCTTTCTCTTTCATGAGTTCTAAATAAAAATATATAAATAAATAAATCCTACTGCATTTCCAAAAGTGAAAATAAATGCCTGATTAGAGGGCAAAAAAATACTTTTCATAAAGAACAAAAACCTAGCCATATTAAAAAACCTGCTGTGGGTAAGAGTGTAAGTGTTGACATGAGTATGTTAGGTTGAGGTTTAGAACATTATTCTTTGCTCTTATTTACCAAATTTCTTACCCACCACATTATCTGCCTTTTCAGATGTGTAGTGCTTTTGATTTTTAATTGGTCTTATTTACCAAATGACTTACTCATTAGACTATCTACTTTTTCAGATGTATTCCCATTTTGATTTCACTGTGAAGAGAACTAGCATAACAAAATAGTGACACACGAGGCTTTCTCAGCCTTTGTACCTTTGATGCAGTGTCCACTGCTCCAGCAATTTAGTAAATGGCCTTTTTTCCCTTATGTGGTCTGCAATTCAAGTTTGCTACCTCCTTGCTCAGCATGTAAGGAACATTGACCATGATGGGGCTGAGCTAGAGATGCCACTGTCTCCTCCACACCTTTCTGATGCGTGTTTCTGTCTTTGGTTTCTATCTTTGCCAAAGGTACTGTTTGAATGATTTATGTCCCTTTTAAAGGAATAACTTCACCACCTGAAATGGTTTGTAACACTGCATTTCTTTCCTCTAGGCTGATTGCTGTGGCAAGCTGGTCTCATTCTCCAGATATCTGAAGCATGTAGTCAGCAGCAGAGCAACAGAAGCTGCCAGAGGTATTTTGTTTCTCAATGCTAAATATGTTCTTAACTCTTCTGCTGGAGGGTACTCGAGAAGATGCTCACCACAGCCTGAGCCTTTTTGTAGTGGTGCTAAATGTGGCTCAAATGCCCCACAGAGGATGGGGCTGCCTATCACAGGCTGGAGTCTTAATGTGGGAGCCCACACAGGCAGTGGCTGTCACTGGAGATGGATACTGCTCTCCACCATCACAGGAACCCTACATAATGTTCCCACACAATTCCCATCTCGGTCGGGCAGAGCCATGTGATGTCTCTCACAGCCACCCACTGCAATGGCACACCATTGTGCACACACCCTGCTGACCCCAGTTTGGCATGCCTGCACTGCCATGGATCAGTAAGGGGAAAATTGCATCAGTTGTGGGATTTTTCATATTTAACCTCATCTTCATGAGCATTCTTCACCTCTTGGTGCCTTTGAATTTGCAACTGAAGTCCCTGAGGTGGGAACAAAAAAGGCAGCTTTTGTGTGAAGAGCAGTTAACTCTGTGCAGTAAGTTGGAGGTTGAAGTTACTGTTTCCTTATACAATAAAATCATTTTTCTGAATAAAACCCAGCTGTTTGCACTGACTGCTTAAGAGCCCTCTAACATTTAATCTAAAAAACATCTTCAAGTGAAAGTTTGCCCCAGACTTTTTGGCAGCTAAAAATCTAGAATAGCAAGGATGTACTTTTCTAAAAAAAAAAAAAAAAAAAAAAAAAATGATAAAATCTGTCAGTGCATTCTTGAGGAAAGCAAACAATTTTACCCCAAAATTCTAATAATTTAAAACTCTGCAGAAATTAGCAATAATTATAGACCCTGTTGTTCAGAGGTTTTTTTACTATGTTTATATAGATCTCAACATACTACAAACCTGTCTATAGTTTCAGATCTTCGGAAGTAGCAAACAAGTCTTAGGAAAGTATAAACACCCTTAATATTACTTAAAAAAACCTCTCTCCTGCCCTATGAATCAAATGTAATAACAGAAAAAACCAAAAACAGTGGCAGCAAATATCAGTAGTCTATCCTTCAGGATACTTCAAATCATTGTTTTACTAAAAGCTGGATTCATTTACAGATTGAAACAGGCAGGCTGAATTTTAATGCATTTTACCCTATTATTGTTTCATCTAATAAAAATGTCCTTAGTTCATGGCAAATACAATGATGAAAACTGATGGCTGGATATGCAAACTTTGACCCACAGCAATACCTTACTATGTTACCAGCCGGGAAAATTCCAAGTGAAAACATTTTTGACAATAAGCAATAAAGGAACAGCATTCCAGGGAGGAACTCACACTTGAGGCTGACAACTAGGCGAGAGATTAAAAAAGAGAGAGTGAATTTTAATGACCTGGAATTCTCTGGAAGATAAGTATCAAAAAATTCCAACAAAGAATACAAACATGATAGAGCCCAAATACTCATGAAACTCTAAGTGCTTTAAAAAAAAGGAGAACTTAAGTAATGTTACACTGCTCCTCCACTGCATACAGTGTATTTAAATATATCTTTGCTAAATTTAAGAAGGAAAGCTTTGGTCTTCTGTCTGTTTTCTGTCACTTATGAATTTTTCTGGAAGAATGACTTCTGACTAGTTACCCTTCCAAACTAACTCTGTCTCATCTTGACACCACTGGAGCTATATCAATACCCTTCACGCATTTAGATTGTCAGTGCCCACTATTGAAACCGCCAGTGCTGGGGCTCATGTCAGATCCTGTCCTCTTAGTTACATGACATATAACTGAAGTATAAAAGCATTTTGGAGCTGGGTGGCAAGGCAGAAGCTGCAGTGAGGGATGAGCAGCTGAAACAACACCTTTTCCTGAAAGAGCCCAAGATCTCTTTCAAATAATGAGACAAATGAGTGACCAAATGGGGCAGGTCAAAGGCACACTTAGCTCAGCATCACCTTGCTCATATGGTTAGCAGCAGATGTCTGGTAGGAAAAGGAAAGGAGAGCAAGCACATCACTGTGTTTCCCTTGGCACGTCCAGAAGTTGTATCTTGGAGGACTATAACTCTTCTGGACTTTTGTTCCATTGATTTTCCTTTCCTTACCATAAACTTGAACATGATTCCTTGCACCTACTGAGACATTTGTGCAGAGAAAGATAATGTCTTTTACCCAAAGATAAGGAGATTACAATCTTTTGAAGTCAGGAATCAGAAGGAGCCCACCAGACCTGCAGCAGAATCAGTACAAAGATCCCCAGCTTGGTGGCCAGGATCCCCATCCAGCTTGTGCTCTGGTTTAAGAGCAATCTAGGGGACATACACATGTATGCATGTGTATGCAGAGATGAACATGACTTGTCAAATCAGAGCTCACATGTTCATCTCAGTCAAAGGGGATTCCTCAATTAATATTTTTCTAATCTTTCTTGCCTAAAAATCCACATCTGCCTGAATTCAGAGCAGAAGCTGAAGGTGTTTTGAGGGCTGAAGGCTGATGAGACTGTTACAACAATTGAAAGCACCAGGACCCAGACACTTCACATAGGGGACCACTGACTTGCCAGAAAGCTCGAGAGAGATTATTAAGATTTCTTGTGGACATTTGACCATGAAGGTGCTTGGCTTTTCTTCCCTTCACCAGATTCTACAGTCTCTAAGTACTAGCATTTACTGAACTCTCTTTCCTTAAAGGGGCTGGGGGGTGGGGGGGTGGGGTGGGGGGTGGGGGTGGGAAATGAAAAAGAAAAAGAGTAAGAATTGTACAAAAAAATAAATCCTGCTTTTGTTCTGGATAAAAGTAGGTCAGTGTTTTCCATCCTCACTGTCAGTTTTCTGCAGTGTATTTCATACAAAGCATCATCATTCCAGCAAAAGGTATTTATAAAGTGAGCTTTGACAAAACAATTGTATATTTTTTATTGCCAGAAAGGCTTTGGCATCTGTCACTGCCAGGGAAGATTTAAGATCTAGCTAGAATTTTCATCTCTCACAATGACTTGGCCTATATTGTCTAGATCTAATAGATCTGATGTTTTAAAGTACTATAAATTGCAGCTGTTAGAAATCCCACTCCTTCATGGAAAACTTTCAGTGGGAGCAGTATAAATGTTTCCACTATTTATCTTCACCTGGCACACCCACAACCCCTCAGTTCTCTTGATTCAGATTCAAGAGAATAGTACCACAAGAGAGCTGGAGCACGCCAAAAATAGTACCCCATGGGACAAGGAGGGTGCCAAGAACACAGACTATTGTGGGCAGGGGCCATGACAGAGGTTCCGCTGAAAGAAAGAAAGAAGACAGCATTTTTACCCGAACTGGGGAACAAAGACAATTTTTTTCATTTCTCCAGAATTTCCAACCAACTGGTAAACTAAGACCTTTTTCCACACATATTTCAGTCCAATTACACACAGAAAAAAAAAAAAAGAAAAAAAAAGTAATACTTGAAATTTAAAAACAAAGAGAAAAATATCCATAATATTCTTGTGATCTTTTTCAATGTGCATATAATCAGGACCAGCTGAGGCTTACCACGTGCACACAAAATATTAATTCCAGAGCATTTACTCGATTGTAATGACACATAATCACTGCAAAGACAATGTCTCCACTTACTCCACTCTTCCCTCTTCATTAGGAATATACTGTGTCTGTAGAGTCCTTGGGCCCCTTACCTGTTCAATGAAAGAGGATCTGCAAGTATAAAATGCAGCTGGGGGAGATGCTTATCATTGGTTCTCCAGTCACATCATCCTTAAAAACAAATATATGAGAGGCTCATCCACTGTTGATACATAAAACAAGCAGAGAAGATCCATATCAGTCACAGAAACAAAAGAAAAATGGATTGAGAGGCCCAGAGCTCACTAACATCCCAACTTCAATAAAAGTGGGGTGCAGGACTGATCAGCAAGACAGGAAGAGTTGAGAAAGAGCCATGCACAAGAGAGAGAAGCACAGGAGACCTGCACTGGCAAATATAAGAGACGGATGAAGGACCACAGGCTGAAGTTAATGGGTTTATCTGTAGAAGAAGCATTAGTAAAGGCATTGCAATCTGGCCTGCATATTTTCACTGAGGTTCTTGCTTTTGGAGGAGATGACAGAAAAGACCTTAGATGGAGAGTAGGAGGAAAGGCAGAGGGGGGGAGTTCAGCACATCCCTCAGCTTTGGAGACAAGGCAGGAGCCACGAACTAGTTAATCCCAAAAACTTCATCTGAACTGTCCTAAGCCAGACATGCCACCAGAAAGCATTCCTGCAGCCCTGTAATAGCTCAGCATTGCTCACAATAGCCACAGCATGTCCAGCAGAATAGCAAGGTTAGTCAGTAAACCAATGTTATGTCAAATCCCAAAGTCAATCTGAGTCTGATTCATGGTGAAAACACAGCCCCCATGTCTTCAAACACAGCCAAATTCTTTACAGGAAAAAAGTCTGTGCTTCCCTGGGTGTTGTGAACAAGTAAGTAAGTCTAGCAAAATCCAAACACAATTTGGCAGGATATAATACTTTTTGGAGATAATCCTACCTGCTGAAATTTCCTTTTAACCTCAGTGAAGACTCCAGTTGATGCTAAGTATAATCAGGCAGATATCAATTCTCTCCCACTGGAAAGCAGAGTGAACAGTCTTCAAAATATTATTCTTTTGTGTCGGAGTACAGCAGTGAAGGGAAAGTTCTAGAAATAGTTACTTTGCACAATTTTCTTCTGAAAAGCAGGCTGGGTGATTTTGACTGTGGTAGGTCACAGTATCACAGTATGCTAGAGATTGGAAGGGACCTCGAAAGATCATCTAATCCAATCCCCCTGCCGGAGCAGGAACACCTAGATAATGTTACACAGGAATGTGTCCAGGCGGGTTTTGAATGTCTCCAGGGAAGGAGACTCCACAACCTCCCTGGGCAGCCTGTTCCAGTGTTCCGTCACCCTCACTGAGAAGAAGTTTCTTCTCAAGTTTAAGTGGAACCTCTTGTGTTCCAGTTTGTACCCATTACCCCTTGTCCTATCATTGTTTGCCACTGAGTAGAGCCTGGCTCCAACCTCGTGACACTCCCCCTTTATATATTTATAGACACTAATAAGGTCACCCCTCAGTCTCCTCTTCTCCAAACTATAGAGACCCAGCTCCCTCAGTCTTTCCTCATAAGGGAGATGCTCCACTCCCTTAATCATCTTCGTTGCCCTGCGCTGGACTCTCTCCAGCAGCTCCCTGTCCTTCTTGAACTGAGGGGCCCAGAACTGGACGCAATATTCCAGATGCGGTCTCACCAGGGCAGAGTAGAGGGGAAGGAGGACCTCTCTCGACCTACTAACCACCGCCCTTCTAATACACCCCAGGATGCCATTGGCCTTCTTGGCCACAAGGGCACAGTGTTGGCTCATGGTCATCCTGTCGTCCACTAGGACCCCCAGGTCCCTCTCCCCTACACTGCTCTGTAACAGGTCGTTCCCCAACCTATACTGGAACCTGGGGTTGTTCCTGCCCAGATGCAGGACTCTACACTTTCCCTTGTTATATTTCATCAAGTTACTCCCTGCCCAACTCTCCAGCCTGTCCAGGTCTCACTGGATGGCAGCACAGCCTTTTGGCGTGTCAGCCACTCCTCCCAGCTTAGTGTCATCAGCAAACTTGCTGATAGTACACTCAATTCCCTCATCTAAATCATTGATGAATATATTAAATAATACCGGTCCCAGTACTGACCCTTGAGGCACTCCACTAGTTACAGGCCTCCAACTAGACTCAGCCCCATAGACTACAACTCTCTGGCTTCTCTCCTTCAGCCAGTTCGCAGTCCACCTCACTACCTGATCATCCTGACCACACTTCCTCATTTTAGCCGTGAGGATGCTGTGGGAGACTGTGTCAAATGCTTTGCTGAAGTCAAGGTAGACCACATCCACCGCTCTGCCATCATCCATCCACCGTGTTATTTCCTCATAAAAGGCTAAGAGATTGGTCAAACATGATTTCCCCTTGGTGAAGCCATGTTGACTGCCCCTCATAACCCTCTTATCCTTGATATGCCTTAAGATGGCACCAAGGATAAGGTGTTCCATCACTTTCCCAGGGATGGAGGTGAGGCTGACCGGTCTATAGTTACCTGGGTCCTCCTTCTTGCCCTTTTTGAAGACTGGAGTGACATTTGCTTTCCTCCAGTCCTCAGGCACCTCTCCCATTTCCCAAGACTTGGTAAAGATGATGGAGAGTGGTCTAGCAATGACTTCCGCCAGTTCCCTCAGCACCCGCGGGTGCATCCCATCTGGACCCATGGATTTATGGATGTCCAGATTGCTCAACTGATCTCTAACCCATTCCTCATAGACTAAGGCAAACCGCTCCGTTGACCTGACTTCATCTAAGGTCTCAGGGGTACAGGGCTCTTCAGGACTGCCTGCAGCAGAGTAGACAGAGACAAAGAAGGCATTCAGTAACTCTGCCATCTCTGTATCTTCTGTCACCAGGGCACCCATCCCGTTCATCAGTGGGCCTACATTGCCTTTGGTGTTAGTTTTGTCTGCCATGTATTTGAAAAAGCTCTTTTTGCTGTCCTTGACCCTTCTCGCCAGGTTTAATTCTAAGGATGCCTTAGTCCTCCTAGCTGTCTTCCTACATCCTCTAGCAGCAGCCTTATATTCCTCCCAAGTGGCCAGCCCCTCCTTCCATGACCTGTAAACTCTCCTCTTCCATTTGAGCATACCCAGCAATTCCCTATTTAGCCACATAGGTCTCTTGGCCCTCTTCCTTGACTTCCTACGTGTCGGGATGCTCTGATCTTGAGCACAGAAAAAGCAATCCTTGAATGTCAACCAACTATCTTGGGTCCCTTTACCTTCAAGCAGTCTTGCCCATGGGATTTCCCCTAGCAATTGCTTGAAAAGGCCAAAGTTTGCCCTGCTAAAGTCCAGGGTTGCAATTCTACTTGCTATTCTACTAGTCCTACCACACAAGATCCTGAACTCCACCATCTCGTGGTCGCTGCAACCAAGGCAGCCCTCAACCCTTACTGCTTCAACCAGATCCTCCTTGTTAGTGAGGATGAGATCCAGCAGCGCTCCTCTCCTGGTTGGCTCACCCACCATTTGCAGGAGGAAGTTATCATCCATACACTGGAGGAACCTCCTGGACTGTGCCTCGGTTGCCGAGTGGTCCTTCCAGCAAACATCAGGGAAGTTAAAATCCCCCACGACGACCACAGCCTGTGACTGTGAGGCCACTCTCAGCTGCCTGTAGAAGGCCTCGTCAACTTCCTCACCCTGATCTGGTGATGTGTAACAGACACCTACAACAGTATCCCCCCTGCCAGCCTGCCCCTTAATTCTCACCCACAGACTCTCAACTCACTCATCATCTGTCCCTGGACAGAACTCGGTGCATTGTAGTTCCTCCCGCACATAAAGAGCAACCCCACCACCCCTCCTGGCTGGCCTGTCTTTCCTGAAAAGGACATAGCCCTCCATGACTATATTCCAGTCATGTGAGCTGTCCCACCACGTCTCTGTAATTGCCACCAGATCATAGTCTCCTGACTTAATACAGAGTACTTGCAACATAATTCAGCCCATGCTTTTCAGGCCATGGGAAACCAGGATGTTCACAGGTAGGGGGACTGCAGATTTCCACAGCAGGAGTTGGTCCAGTCTCTCCTGAACCCACAGCGGGTTGGGAAGCACCATGGTAAAGCTGTTGTCAGCATTTTTTACCAGTTGAAATTACCTCACTACAACTTCTGCCATGCCACCTAGCTTGAAAATGGCTCTCAAGTATTACAGGATGGGGGTGACTGCTGTGGTCATCTAATACACTTTACAAGTAGATTGTCCCAAGAGTCCACAAAGAAGTTTCCTTGAAATGCCCATTATGTTACACAAACTGTTTATTCAACTTTAATTGAAGTTCTGATCATGCATTAATTGTAAATTTTGTTGAAAAACAGCATGAGTTTCCTGATGATTAAAGGACTGATATTGCTATTCTTAATTATCATTTGTAGTATGGAAGACTGCAGTGTGATTCCCCCTGCAGAAGCAGGTGCAGTATATACCCACCTGAAGAATCATCCTTGGCTCTGGAAAACTTAGAAACCTAAACACACAGTACAGACAAAAAAGCTACCATTATCTTCCTTCTCCAGATGGGGAACTGAGGCACAGAGAGATTAAGTGACTTGCCAACATCTGTGGAAGAATGGAGGATTAAACCTTGATCTCCTGAGTCCAAGTCTGGTGTTCAGTCACCAGACCAGCCTTACTGTTCCTGCTAATGTGTTATTGCTATCATCTGCTTCATGGTTTTTCCTACCCATTCCTACCTAATCCCTTTTCAAGGTAGCCCTTCAGGGACTGTTACTTATGTGGATCAGGGCTTGATATAGCCATGCCAAAGAGGGACATACTGTTTCTTCTTGTGGGCACCACTGGCTTGGCTGGCAGGTGCCACTGCTGGGTGGCATCGCAGGACAAGGACTCACAAAGTCATTTCTACTTCAAGGCAGAAAAGCCTGAGTGAAATCAGTAGGCAGAAGGGAAAGAGTAGACTGTTTGCTGTGGCTCTCACTGCATCTGCAGTTCCAATCCTAGAGAAGCCAAAAAAAAGAAGCATGTTCATGTAGGAAGAAGGCTTGTAAGATGGGGCTGTAAGACAAGAAGAAAAAATCTTGAAAGCTGTACACTGGATGGATTCCTGCACTCTCAGTATTTATTTCTTGTGCTACAATACCACCTGCAGGCCCCAGTCCAGGACTGGATGCTGCTGAGAAAAAACGGTCTTATAATCCAAGGGGACAGGCCCCAGCCCTCAACCTCCAAGGGAGCTTTTCCCATGGCTAGGGAGGTTTTGGATGATGCTCAGCGCACACTGTCAGACAGGTGTACCCCATGCTGCATCATTATATGCATTGTCCAAAATGGTCCCCTCAACCCAACCAAACACCTTGAAAAAAACTCTGTATGGAGAAGGTCTGCAATGAAAATAAGTCTGAAAATGGTCTTAGAGGTGGAAAGCTGCAGGAACCAAGTAACAAAGTTATTTCCCGCACTGGTTGCAAAAGGTCCTTTGTCCTCCACCAGCAAGAGATGCCTCAGCATGTGGACCCTAAATAAGGCTGCCCTGCTCCCCCAGCCCATGCCAAAATGGGGGAGAGAGTGGGGGAGGGTGCCACCACCAGGCCCTCTCCTCAATGCTTGTCACCCCGATTGCGGTGGGCAAGAGATCACAGGCAAGCAGTGGTATCTGCTCAAGAGGCATCAGATGGCTTCTGAGCAAGGGTAATCCATTTAATTCTAGAGAAGTTTTTCCACTCAGAGATCATACACACTGCAGATCACAGAAACACATGCAAGCATGAAATTTCGTTTTTAAAGAATTCTTTTCCTGGGGCTTCCATGTAAAGTGGCAGTGAATGGGAAAAACTATAATCATGACAAGACAATTACAGAGGGGTTTTTTGCTAAGCATGAAACTTTGAAAAAATGTTTAGGGAAAAGGGAGGTAAAAAAAAAAAGCAATTTTTGTCGGATTGTCTTGTTGCACATTAGACATCATGTCATATAAATGACTTTAAACATTATAATAGGTTTTAGAGTAGCCAAGTCAAAGAAAAAATAAATGTTTGAGTTTGAGCTACTTTTCCTGCTTTGGCTCTTTTAGTGACACACCGAGTATACAAATGCAGAAACAGCCTGCACCCTCCTAAATGCTGCAAAACACACACTTGTGCTTTTAGCATGAAAGGACTAGGAGACACACATTAGTATTTCTGGGATTATAGTGAGAAAGCAGGAGTGATAACTTTGATGTTCTTTAAAAAAAAAAAAGTGAAAAGACAGAAAGCTATGAGTGGTTTTTTTTTTGTTTGTTTGTTTGTTTTTTTTTTTCTTGGCAAAGCCCCCCAGGAAAGAGCTAGCATGGAGAATGAATTCCCTCTCATCTTCCAGAGAGGTAATTCCTCCCCTTCCAGCCTAAGTTCACTGGCATGGCTGTGTGGGGAGCTCAGATGCTGTGTGTCTGAGCCCTGCTTAGCCTGTAGATAAACAGAGACATTAGTTTCTACAACAGGCACTTAAAAGTTCTTCAGTAGCAAATATTCCCTGCAAAATGAATAGGCATTGTACGTTCAGAAATGTAAAATAGAACCATGAAACGCATGATCTCTGCCTTGATGGTCACAAAGACAGTAATTTGAACTCTGGGGAAGGTTTCTAACTTGCTTGTTGTTAAAGCTGGAAGCTGGTCCTTTCTTGATGTAGGTCTCTTCTGATATAACAACAACTTCTTAGAGGTTTTTACAACTGCCTTATTCGTAACTGCAGCATCCCAGTGGCTTTGAGTAAGAAATTGAGTGTGTGGTAAAATCACAGCCATAGGATTCACTATGCTAAAAAAAATTGCTCTGAAATTTTTCAGCTGTTCTTATCTGAGAGGCAGGGGTTTTAGTGCTGATTGCTTAGGAAGAAAATGGCATAAAGCAGAAAGTCTGAAAGGGTTTACCTTGATTTTGTAGCATTGCAGCATCCTTTTGGGTCTCTCATCCCTGCGTCAAACAATGCTCAGCTGTGATCAAAGATGTGGGCTCTACACTCAGCTCCTCCAGATCTAGAGACAATCAGCAAAATAATTTGTCAAATTGTCAAAACTTAACAGACATGGTAGAGGATCAGACCAGGGAAATCTGGATAGACTGTGCCTTCACCCAGTCCTAATCTCACCACTGGAGGCTATAAACATGATGGGTAAAGTGACAGTCTGGCTACAAATCTGTCTGGCAGCTTCATTAGACATCTTTCGCCTGACTGATTAAACTGCATTTAAGATTCACTTTCATTTTTTCAAGTCTTTTGTTTAAATTAAAAGGTCACGTTTTCAAGTGAATGATCCACTGCCCTCTTCAGTCTCCTGCCACAATACAGTTACATTACTACTAGTGTTTCACAAAGCGCTGTGAATAAGATCCACAGACACCAACAAATGTCACAGCCAGCAGAGGTTACAGAAAGGGTTTTTGTCTGTTCACTATACGCCACAGCAGGGAAACAAGCTTGAAAAGTCCCCCAGCCTCAAACTTGGGCTATTTCTGCTGTGCACCAGGGGACTTGCAAAGAGGACTTGCTACTTTTGCAAATTTATTAAAGCAGTTGGCTTTGCCTGGTGCATCTCGCTCCACCTTGTTTTTATTGCTTCCTCACCACTCAGAAACTGAAAGGGATTTTTGATGGTTAGACAAGAAAAAAAAAAAGCCAAAAACCAACAAAACCCAACAAACAAACAACAAACAAACCAGGACCTGTGATCTGGGGTCTAATGCTGCCAAGTGCTGAGTGCCATCTGTTCCCACTGGCTCCGAGCGGCCGCAGGACTGCTCCAGAGCTCACGGGATGGGGCCCCGGCGTGGCAGAACCCGACGGAGCGGGGCAGCTCTCCAGAAGATGTAACACAGCATCTTGGGAGAGCTCCCAGTTTACACCTCTGCGTCTCTGGCCTGCAGACAGATTGCACTTAACCTGCCGCCCCGCAGCCAAGTGCTTCTCTGAGCTCTCAGAAAATGCCAAGTGCACTCAAAGCTGAGAGAGATGTCCTGGCTGTGCCTGAGACTTATGTACGCTCTGTTTCTAACTAACTAGAGACAAGGAATCCCTTATTATCTGTGCTGGGAGGTGATGATGCACTGAGTATTACAGTTTCTTATGTCACACTGATGCCATTGATGCTGGTTTAAAAAAAAAAAAAAAAAAAAAAAGGAAACACAATCCCCCAGCCTCACTCACACTTTTCCATAGGTTTTTGCTTGGCAGAGTGCAGCACAGGGATGAATCTGAGGGTCAAGATTCAAGGGGAGTAGCTGCTCCTGATGAAGGCAATGGCTGAGCTGTGTGCTCCTCTCAGGTGAAAAGCAGAAAGCAATGGAATTGAATAAAAAGGACTGAAACCAAAATGCTGTGTCACTGCCTCAGAGGAGTCCTTGCTTCCTGTTGACAAGTTTAACTCCAGCATGAAGGGGTCAGTTGAGTGGCTGGTACAAGAACTCACTTTACACCAAGGAGATGTAAAAGTTGACTGAATTTTTACTAGATAAGATGAGCCTCACAAGTGCTCTGCTACAGATGAGAGGACTCTGCCCACTGAACTGTTACATTCCCTAAATTGCAAGTCTGTTAACGAAGAACATTATAAATGTGACTTAATAAACTGAACTGTAGCTTGGTTTGCAATATTCATTGTGTCCTGTGTCCGACATGCTTCCTCCCAAGTATTTTTTCTATAAATCACATTTCATAGGAACTTCGGCTGTGAAATTGTACACAAAAATGTATTTGGTAGAGGGATACTTCCCTTTATTTTCATGTACAATTAAATCCTCAATAATCACTGAGGCTTTTAGAAGTGGTGGCGACATCATCATCTCCCAGATACAGTGTTTCCTTTGGATTGCAATGGAATTCAATCGATAACAAGCACAGGTATATACTGATACTGCAAATAAAACCCTGCCTGCCTGCTGCATTTTTAACTAATTGCAAGGGTCAAAGGCTGGTTAGGTATAACATGTATGTTATTACCCTAAAATCAAGCTGGCTTTTCTGACCCACCAGCACTGAAGATGCTGATATCCTGTAGTGTAACATTTGCTTTAGGCGTACATTTTTTTAATCGATATGCCTAAGATTCACATGCATGTATTGACAGAAGACTAGATCCTTTAGCCAGTAAATCCTTGACATTTTTGTATCATACTATAAGCCCAATTATCCTCCTCTTCCCTGTTCCTCAATCAGAAATTTGAAAGGCAGAAAAAAATCCAGAATAAACAGTAAAATTTTCCAAGTTGTGTGCATTACTGTGAATAAGAACAGTGAATATGATCCAGCAACAAGTAAGAATATTTTGGATACCAACAGAGCTAAAGTAGTGTTTAAGGCTTGTCTGAATGGGCTTGCTTTTGTAAAGCCAGAGGACATTATGCAGTTAATTTATAAAAATTAAATAAAGTTATCTTTCTTTTCCATTACCTAAGAGAAATATTTCTGAATGATCCTTTCCTTTTCTTCACACAGCCTATGTTTTTTTCACAACTAGCTGACTCTGATAGACACAACCATTCCAGTAAGCCCTCAGTCTGTGCTGCCAATAATTATATCAGTTATCCAGGCCCTTACATGTCATTTAATAGCTACTTTCATAGAGAAGGAAGAAAGAAACAACTACAATAAAATGCAGTTAATTATGGATATGTTTAGAAACAGTCTAATGAATAATAAACAATGTTTTATTTCCTCTGCCCATGACACAGTGGCAAATAATTAAGTATCAAAAGAATTCAAAGTATTAGGTAACAATCAGAAAACTTGTGCAAGATTTTTTCTGCTCAAGTTTAATTGGTTCATTGTTCCCATGAACTATAAACCACAGGGTTGATAGCAGTGCTAAAGTTTACTTCTATAAAGGAAGATTAACATATTCAGGAACTTCACCCTAATCCTTGTTTTGCGTTAACTCAAGCATATTGGATTAGTAATTCTTACCTACCACCCACTAGAGGAAAATGGGTTTCTCTTCTCAGACAACTGGCTGTATTGTACCTTCATGTGCATTATCTGCACTGAAAGCATTCTGCAGAAAGAAATAATATGAAGTGAAAGAGAAAAGAGTTTTACACTGTGATGGCAAGAAATAATTGCTGACATTACAGAATCTGAACTCTGCTGAAAGGCTAGACCTGTTCCTCTCCAGTTCCTGTGCTGTTATTTCATGCAAAATGAGAACAAGCCTTCCCTAAATTTCTTATTCAGGAAAATCATGAAAATGAAGGAAAGTTGATTTACTAGTTCCGATTTGGAGGCTTGCGAGGTGTGCTGGCAGAAAGGGAGCAGAGCTGGTTTTGTGGTTAACTGACTCTGCTAAGTGCTGGCTCTTAATGCAAGAGCTGCAAAACCACTGGGCACCTGCTTGCTCAGACCTGCTGGGAAAGGGGACAGTTGCTGCAGGAAGCATCCTATCCTGGTGGTCCTCCTACTGTGTGGACATAGTGCAGTGTGGACCAACCACAAGTATCAGTATAAGCCCGGGCCCGGGGAAATATCCCCCTGAAGAGTTAGACCCATCAGGTCTCTCCCATGCAGCTCATGCCCCATTTTCACTAATTAGAATCACAGCATGGTTTGGGTTGGAAGGAACCTTAAAGGTCATCTGGGCAGGGACACCTTTCACTAGACCATGTTGCTCAAAGCCCCGTCCAACATGGCCTTGAACACAGACAGGGATGGGGCAGCCACAGCTTCTCTGGGCACCCTGTGCCACTGCCTCACCACCCTCACAGTGAAAAATTTCTTTCTTGTATCTAATCTAAATCTACCCTCTGCCAGTTTAATTGCCTGAACAAAGCCAGGTCCTACTTATAGTGAACTCAGTGCCACATCTTCACCCCAGCAAAGAAGCTGCAATTACTTGCTCTGTTTGCAGTTACTTTTCTCCCAACTTTTGTCCTCTTGAAGAGTCTATATCCCAGGCCCTCCTGCTCCCTGTCCATACACAAGAGCTATCCCTTTACCCCAACAGGAGCAGGACAAGATCATGAAGGCCAGCAGAAGGACTTGATGCCATGCAGGTTTCTGTGAAGCTTGGTAAGTCCCAAGCATCTTCCTTCTTACATATATGGACAAACTTAGCCAGACCCTTTCTATCATTAATCAGCAAATTATGCCAGGAAATTTGAGGAGATTTTGAATAAGAGACGTGAGATTGAGACCTAAATTTTCTTGGCTGCACAAAGCAGACAAATTCATTAGAAGCTGATTTACTGTCCCAAAGGTGGTGGCTACGTGCCCATCTCTGCCCTATCTGTAAGTCACAAACCCTGGTGCACCTCTGTTCTCTAGCCCAGCTGCCTGCAGAGTATTCATCCTCCACCACCCTTCATTTGGATACAGAAAATACAAATTTTGGGGTGCAACAGATGTGCAGTGCTTCCTATAGTAAGACCCTGATCTCATATAGACCTGTTCAGTACAACTTTAAAGCTTGTTAGCTTACAGCCAAAGCTGTAGGGAGTTACTTCCCTATGTCTGGGGAACAGCAAGAAAACACCGGGGTGCCCTGACAGTCCTGCAGAACTGGAAACAAGCCAATGCATTTCCAGGGGAAGTTGAGGGGTTTTGAGAAACACATACGTGATCTACCTTTGAGCTTTGCACTGCTATCCCTTGAAACCTTTTTCTTCCTGGAGAAAAGGTTTCTGTTGCCATATCAGTAAAAGGAAAATGAGGAGTGGATCAATAAATTACTCAGACACTTCCTGCTGACTATTATGAGAGGTGCCCATACAAATTTTCCACCTTCTTCCTTTTTCATGGCTTTCCACCAAGCTGTGCCAAACACACTGCTTATCACTTACTGTTTGGGATTTTATGAAGGAAAAAATAAATAGAGCCTCCAAGTACTAATTTCAAACTGTTGTAGTGAACTCTCCATTTTTTTATTACATAATAGAGCCTTTTGTCCTCAGTTTTCCACCTGTTTGCTAAGCATTTTTCACTTGAAGACTCAATTAGGACAAGAAACCCCCACACAATCATTCAATTCAAAAATTAATTTGGAGATCA